AACCAGGACCAGGACCCGGCATGCAACATTTGCCATGGGCTTTCTGGAGAACTACCAGGAGATCGACCCGGTCACGCTGAACCTGTGCATCCTCATCGCCAGCTACGTCATCCTGCTCCTGGTCTTCCTCATCTCCTGCATCATGTACGACTGCCGGGGCAAGGACCCCACCAAGGAGTATGCGCCCGACCCCCAGCCCACGCAGTCCCCCATCCGCCTGGTGGTCATGCAGGGCACCTCGGCCCCCGTCGGGCGCTGGGAGACCGCCAACATGATCACCAGCTACCACGAGCCCCCCCACTCCGAGAAGAAGAGCACCATGGTCTAAAGGGGCCTCCGTTCCAGACCGGACTCTGTATATAAACCTCCTTTATGCTTTGTACATACTTGTTTTTTGTTTATTACTCGGACCTCAAGGAGAAGAAGAGCACCATGGTCTAAAGGGGCCGGACTCTGTATATAAACCTCCTTCTGCTTTGTCCATACCTGTTTTTTGTTTATTACTCGGACCTCAGGGAGAAGAAGAGCACCATGGTCTAAAAGGGGGCCCATTCCAGACCGGACTCTGCATATAAACCCCTTTATGCTTTGTCCATACCTGTTTTTTGTTTATTACTCGGACCTCAGGGAGAAGAAGAGCACCATGGTCTAAAGGGGCCGGACTTTGTATATAAACCCCTTTATGCTTTGTCCATACCTGTTTTTTGTTTATTACTCGGACCCCAGGGAGAAAAAGAGCACCATGGTCTAAAGGGGGCCTCAGTCCCAGACCGGACTCTGCATATAAACCCCTTTATGCTTTGTCCATACTTGTTTTTTGTTTATTACTCGGACCTCAAGGAGAAGAAGAGCACCATGGTCTAAAGGGGCCTCAGTCCCAGACCGGACTCTGCATATAAACCCCTTTATGCTTTGTACATACCTGTTTTTTGTTTATTACCCGGACCTCAAGGAGAACAAGAGCACCATGGTCTAAAGGGGGCCTCCGTTCCAGACCGGACTCTGTATATAAACCACCTTCTACTTTGTACATACCTGCTTTTTGTTTTTTTATTATATGACTCTTTTTTGTGTTTTTTTTGTGTGCTTTGGATTGGACCCGCGCAGGACCAGACTGGGGAGGTAAGGATAGACGTGTGTGCAAGAAGTGAAATTGAAAGAAAATGTGATTTATTTTGGACTAACTAACTAACTAACTAACTAACTAACTAACTAACTAACTAACTAACTAACTAACTAACTAACTAACTAACTGACTAACTAACTAACTAACTAAATAAATAAATAAATAAATAAATAAATAAATAAATAGATAGATAGATAGATAGATAGATAGATAGATAGATAGATAGATAGATAGATAGATAGATAGATAGATAGATAGATAGATAGATAGATAGATAGATAGATAACTAAACTAACTAACTAACCAACTAACTAACTAACTAACTAACCAACTAACTAACTAACTAACTAACTAACTATAATAAATAAATAAATAACTATAATAAAATACTATAATAAATAAATAAATAAATAAATAAATAAATAAATAAATAAATAAATAAATAAATAAATAAATAAATACACAAATAAACTAACTAACTAACTAACTAACCTTAACTGGTGCAACCTTTCTACAAAAGTTGTGAAAACATCTGTTTGTTTTTTTCCATCTCGATTCCTAACACATTTCTTTTGTACATTTAAAGGACCAGGTGGTTTCTGGACCCCTTTAAAGATATTTAACCCTTTATGACCTGGTCCAAGAATTGAAATTGAAAGAAAATGTCATTTATTTTGGTCTGAAGTCTTCATTTGGACCTTTACCTTAATGTGAAAAAAAGAAACCTTTTCTGAATAGTCATTATTTTTTACCGTGCATTAAGTAGAAAATAATTTAAATAATTAAAGTTTTTACCATTAAATGATGCAAAAGCTCTCGGTTGCTAAATATTTTTGGGACTGTGTGTATCAGATATGATGCGAGAAAATCAATGAGTAGAAAACGGCTAAAAACTCCTCCTTAGCTAAAACGTTTTGTTCAGATAGAAGAATATTGGAATTTTTTTAGTCTGAAGTCTTTCTTTGGCCCCTCAACAAAATATGAAGAGAAAAAACTGAAATTATTTTGATCAAATTAGCGTGCAACAAGTCAAAAATACATTTTGGTGTAGTCTTCTACTGGCTGTTATCGGGTATATCTGAATGTGTACAACAGGGGTTTGAGCAAAGCTTTTACCACTGAATGAGGCAAAAAGTCTCAGATGCAATATCTATGTATCAAATATAATACATTTGGCATTATAGGGTTAACGGCGTGTGTGTGCATGCATGCGAAATCCCTCTTTATCTCACGGATCTGCAGGCCAGGGCCTTCTGTCTGCTCCAGAGAGGAAACGTCACCACTAATAAAGCACGGGGAATGAAGAGGGCATGTGTCGACGGGGTTAAAGACAGGCTCCAGATTAGGGTCAAGGGCGGGAAGGCGTGCGGGGAGAGAGTTGTATGTGGCTAACTCTTCAAAAAACGCTCGGTTTTACTTCGGACTTTGGGCTTCTTATCAGAGGTGAATTCATAAAACCTCCCTTCAGATGTTCTGGACAAACTAGACAACCTTGCATAACTCCTGAGGTGTGATAATGGTGGATGGAAGATAGACAAACAAGTCAAAGTGCAGATTCTGGCCATGTGATTGTTATTCTCGGTCTCTAATCGCACACAAATACACACACACACACACCTATCCTTGTCTTTAGTATATTGTAAGGACGCTGGACCAGGCCATGCTTTCTGGGGACCGACCTTTTTGAGAGGTTTTAGTGGGAAAAGAGAAAAAAAAAAAAGAAACAAAAGATTAAATCAGAAAAGTATGACAGAATAGAGAAAAGGTTACAATAACCTGCGCCAGGCGGCACGGTGGTGTGGTGGTTAGCACTGTCGCCTCCCAGCAAGAGGGTTCTGGGAACCAGGACCTTTCTGGGTGGAGTCTGCATGTTCTCCTGTGTCTGTGGGTTCTCTCCGGGTTCTCCAGCTTCCTCCCACCGTCCAAAAACCTGCATGTTAGGTTGTTGGACTCCAAACTGCCCTTAGTGTGAGTGTGTGTGGTTGTTGGTCCTTGTGTGTCTCTGTGTGTCCCTGCGATGGACTGGCGGACTGTCCAGGGTGTACCCTGCCTCTCGCCCATTGACCACTGGGATAGGCTCCAGTTCCCCCCGCGACCCCATCAGGGAATAAGCGGTATTCATAATGGATGGATGGATAACCTGCGCCAAAAAGAAGAGAGATCCCTATAACAGGAAGAGAGGAAAAATATATATATATATTTTCGGTCTCTAATCGCACACACACACGCACACACACACAAACACACAACCGGATGACGCACCTTTAGATGAACCTGGACCTGAACTCAGAGGGTTTTCACTTGTTTTCTGGAGATGTGGAAAAAGGTTTAAGGGCAAAAAAGCAAATAAGTGTTTGACGACTGATCAAAAGAGGACTTTTCCCATCCCAGGATGGTCCAAAAAGAAGCGTCCATGTCTTGGCCTTTGTTCCCTCGGCTGCTTTTTGCTTTCAGTTCAGCAGAAAAAAACAACTACAATTAAACAACTACAAAAAGACGACTACAATTTAAGAGAATGGGCCCACTTCGTTCAGTATTCAGATCGTTGACGAAATCTGTGATCAAAGCGGGAGCTTTAAAGGAAGAGAAGTCTCAATTAAGCTGATTATTTCCATCATCTACTCAAAATCATTGAGACTTGAGGCTTCAGTTGGAGTTCATTTAGTGGATTTAACAAGTCAGAAAGTTTGCTTTTGTTAATTTAATATAAACTAAATAAAAAGAAAGCAAATAAACCAGGATGATAATGTGTTATTATGTTTTATCATTTTAGAATATACAGCCGGAGACAGAATCAAAGAGGTTTGTGGCTGTGAAATAACTCTCAATTTGTGGACAGAAATAATCTGATTTCCTAAACTGGATTTTTAACCTGAAACACATACAAACGCAACTTCCAGTTGTGAAGAAACGTAATGTCATTCACTTAAAATGAGCGATTTTCAAATCATTTCAGTTGTTGTTTTTTCTAAAATTGCACCATAGAAAAGCATCAAGTGCTGAAAGCAAAGCAGTTTTGAAAAAAGGAGGATGACAAAAGGCTGGAATAGTGCAGTTACCACCAGGACACAGGATCTCTGGTTACATAACCGGCAGGTCGGGGGGGCAAAACGGCCAGATGTTCATCCTGAGAGGAGTCCAGATGTTTATCCAGCTGGAGGTAAAGAGGAACAAGGACCTCTGAGTATTTTATGGGTTAGGAACCTGAGGTTTGCAGGCTGATGTTAGAAGAAGAGGGTGTGTTTTAGGATTTTATCAAATCCTAAAACATCTTGCTTTCAAGCTCTGATATATTTAAAAAATATGAGCTCCATCAGATAAATTTAGGAGGGATTGAATCTCTATGTTGATATGATATGATCACTGTGTTAGCCAATCCAAGTGGCTGATGGGAAATTTACCCAGCTCTGATTTCTGATTACCGGTCATTTAAAAGGACAAAAAAGCCATTTTGGAGGCTTTTTATTGCAGACTTGAAAGTCTGACATTTGATAAACCCAATTTGTTCAACCCTAATTTTGCTTTTAATGTTGATTTTTAAATATCATTACCAGATTTCAAGTGGTTTCCGTTTTTTTAGGTTCAAACATAAGAACAAAACTCTGCGAGATCATAAAGACTGGCTGTTTTTATTCCCCTTCTTTGTTATTCCAGAACTAAATAGGTCAGTATATATGCTCCTGCATTCAAAACCGAATCAAACTGTCTTCACAGGCCAAAAAAAGGGGAAGTATGGCTTTCTTTTCCTCCAAGAGAATCACAATTGGTTAAATTTGAGAAGGAAAGGGTGAATGGAAACAGTTAGATTTGAATAAATAAACTTCCACCACTGCAAAACATCATTTCTGAGGCTTTTTTAGTAGGTTTTTGGCCTTTTTACGTGTCCTGATGAGAGAAATTAGACAAACGGATAGTAAACCCAGATTTTCCAGTGGAATATTTCCACACATTTCTAAGTGTGTTTCCTCACTTTCTTCTTTTAGATTAACACAGTGGTTGCTCTTTTTTTCTTCTGGTCTTCTACAGGATCAGAACCTACTTCTGGCCACGTTCATTCATTTAAAAGCCAGTTCCGGAAAAACCTTTCTGATTTCCATCTGATTCTTTAAGCTGCTTTTTAAAAGCTCATTCACGAGAGAGGCACAAAGAGGATAAGACTTTGGCATTTATCTGATGTTAGATTGAGTTTGCCTGGAAATAGA